GCAGCAGCAGCAACCCAGACTGACAGCAGCTCATTGGATCATTTGGATCACATGCAGCCTGGTCCAGGAAGCTCTGGAGGGCTTTATCGTATTAACAGGAGAAGCGGCGCAAGTGAAATTAGACACTGTCGTTGGACAACATGCTGTAATTTATAATGTTTTAAATCAGGTTGGGTCCGGATTAGCCAGCAGGTGGATCGGGATCGCGGTCCGCTAATCTGTGACCTCAGCTCTATTCCCTCCATCTTCAGCACACAGGCGTCCATCATGTCCATATCAAACAAAACAAAACAGAACGCTTTTTTCCGATACGTTTTCCTGCACCATGCAGCCATCTGTCTATGTTTTGGGGTGTGGATTTTAACCAGTAATTAATTTGGTTAAATTTAGCATCATTCATTATCTGCTGAACCTGAGAAAAGACTAAGGACTTGAAGAAGGATCAGAAACATGATCACTGGGCTGTAGAAATAATGGAAAATCCTCAGAAAAGAATGTTCAGTTCAATAAAGTTTTACCTAAACATCCTTGTTTTCATTTGTTTCCCTCAAATGTTAAAAAACATCAAAGTATAAAAAAGAAGTGAATCTGATGTTTAAAACGATGCGTTCACAGACCTGTAAAACGTACCTTTTGAAATCGTTTCATGTCCCAAGTGTCATCAAAGCCTGGATAGTTTCCAGGGAAATCTGTTGTATGAACCTGATACAAAAAAAAAATCATAATTAATAAAAGTTTATTTAATTCACATATTCCAAAATAAATACCATTAAATTATTACAGCAATGAGACAAAATTTAAGTAACAAGTTGTATACAACTTGTCTATCTTATATATGAATCAAATGAATAAATGTGATGCTTGCTGTACTTTTTACTGAAACTTTGCTGCACAACTAAAAATAAAAAGCCTTAAAAAGGAGAAGCAAAAGTAAAGGAGATGGATCAGCAGTGCTTGTGAACAGATTATCTTACTGTAACACTTTTTCTCTGCCCAGACATCGAACTGCTGGTAGCTCAATACCAAAGGGGAAAGTTTTCATCCATATTGTTCACCAGTGTTGTGTATGTGTGTATATATATATATATATATATATATATATATATATACAGTGAGAAAAATAAGTACTTGAACACCATGCTTAGAAAACATGGAGGGGTCTGAAATTATAATCATAGTTGCATGTCCACCGTGAGAGACATAATCTAAAAAAAAATAAATCCAGAAATCAC